CTTGAAGAAAAGCAGTACTAACAATTCCAAGCCAAGGGCACATACCTGCTGTTATAATAATCTATATTCCTCTTTATAGATATTATTTCAAAGAACAGCAAAATAGGACCATGAAAAAGAAGAAACAAACAACGGTAAGACAACAACCTATGCCACACTTGTGATGAAAAACCACTCATATATTGGCAGTACACTACGTATTTATAAAGAAATGTCATCCAACTGGAAAAGCAAAAGTTTGATTATACAGATTTTATATATATTAAAGAAGAAACTAGTAAGGGAAGTGCTCCTCTACTTAATAACTCATTTTATTTTAAGTTTTCTCCTCCCATCACTGTTACACCATTTTCATTAAGTCCTGGTTTCATTCTCTAGTCTGAAAACTATCCTAATGGATGGATTTATAGAAATAATTAAGTAAATAAATGTACCTAAGCCCTACGCTGTGAGCAAGTCCTGCTGTGAAGGAGTGGTCTGAGTTTGCTTTCTCCACAGGTTCACAACAAGTAGCCAGTTTGGGGTCATCGATGGAAGAAACCCGAACAAGTCTTGCAGAATTTGGCCACACAAACTTCTTATCTCCGGGGATTGGTGGCTGCATCCATGCCTCACCACTGCCTCTTTTCGCATACATGACACAACCTCGTTCCCACATATCATCAGAAGGTGGAGATAACCTTGACATGGTTTCATGGTACTGATAATGATAACTGAGCAATTCCTTCTTCATTGGGTAATTAGGGCACCCTAGTACTCCAACAACAACTTTTCCATCCTCGATCAAGGCTAGAGCTACAGCATATTGATCCCCACGAACAAACCCTAATGTTCCATCAACAGGATCAAGTACCCAATGTCTTCCTTTGGGGCCTCCTACTGAGTTGCATCGGCTGATAGCCTCAAGAACTTGAGACGTGTTGAGGGCTTTTGGTGGACTTTTAAGACCATACTTGGTTGCTCCAGCTAGGCATTCATTCACAGTGTTCACAACAGCTTCTAGCAAACTTGCTGAGTCAGCCTTAGAGAGAGTTTGTACATCCTCTTCAGCAATAATGGATACATTTTGACTCCCAAAGAATTCAGACAGTATCCAGCTAACAGTAGCTTGCACACTCCAATCTGTTGATGCGCAATGCCAATAGAATTAGCGAAACTCCATACAAACTACAAAAGGATATTGATTTGAGTTGGAAAGACTCTTATTTTTAAAACATGAACTCGTTATTAAAGCAAAAAAACAGGATCCAGAGACTGGTTATGTTATTTGAATATTTATAATAATACAAGAGAACAAGCAATTTGTGGCATATAAGAGCTCTTATAAAGATAATAAAATGACTTAAAGTAAAAGAAAAAACCCTAATATTGAAAAGGGTAAGATAAATCTAGATCAATTCATGTCTGCAGCTTACACATTCTCCTTTCAAGATCATATAATGAAGAACATAAACTTCTGTGGCTAGCAAGTACATATATTTTTTAATCAAGCTTCAAAACAATAGAGCAACTTCTAGCCAACCAACAAAATCAGTTGTAGAATTTAACTTCCTAGATAGGGGTAGCAGCTAAAAGGTGGACGCACACTAGGACTATCATCTACTTGAAGAATGCAATCATTTTTTTAACAATAAAACAACATATTTCAAAGTTATGCAAGACAAAAAAGCAACTAAATTTGGCTTTCACATAAGGCTCCTTTAGATTCTATAAGTTCTACTTGGCAAATGCTCCACTCCCACCCCCACAATCATTTGTAAAGACAAATCTCAACGAACCTTTGCATGGATAATTAGCAGACAAAACTCATGCTCCATGTATTAGATGTTCTTCATAAAGATCATTTTATAAGAATCACATACCATCAGACTCTTCCCCAACAATGTTCATCTAACGTTCAATCCCTCTTATTTAAATAGCACTTGAATAAGAAGATTCTGATCCCACACTAGAGAAAACTACTCCATAGTCACGTAGGAAAACCTACAAAGATAATGCACCTAATATCAAGTAACTAAATTCATAAATGGCCTATAAAATATTTGTTGTCTGTTTAAAAAATTAAACTTATATTGCTCATCATAACTTGTAAAATAGCATCGTATATACAAATTACATAAAAAAAAGAAGTAGAAAGAGCATCACCTTAACTAATAGGTAATCAATTCAAGAATTACTAAACATATGACCCTGTATGGCAGAACCGACCGACATTGACATTCTTAATTTTATCTAGAAAAAGTACTACATTGCACAAGTTTGACAAAAAATAGGAAAGCCCGAACAGCAGAACAGCAAAAATTTCAACATAAACCAACACAGCCAGATAGCTGCATTTGTAAGCATATACAAGTTGAGCTTTCTTTCACTAAAGTTCCGAATACACTCGCAACATAAAATTTGATATTTGTACCCTTCACTTTGTCACTACCCAAACAAGGAACAAAAGCATAGAAGACAGTTTTCAGTGATATTTCCCAAATCCATCTCTCTCAAAGCCAAATGTCATAACAAACCCACCACCAAAAACCTCATTCCAAAGCACACCCGCCAATATGCAAAACGAAAAACCCAGATTCAAACATAATCAAAGAGCAAAGTTATAATTCAAAGTACCGGCAACAGTCACAGGAGAATCGTCTTCCTTGGACTTAACCAGGTCACTGCCAGCTGAAACAATCCCCTGTTGCAGTCTCTGACACAGAGAACACGCCATGTGAACGACTCTGACGGCCACATCCAGCTCCTCGGCGTATTTCTCACCCTCCATACTTCAATTTTGGACCTACCCAGATGGAGAAAAATGAAAAACAAGAAGAAAGCAGCAATCTTTGAGATACCCACCTGGGGATTTGTGAAAATTAAGGTTCCTACATTCTTGGGTTGCTGATTTTTGAGGTTTATTTTGTGATGCCTACACAATGGCATTCACTGGTGCATTAACTTTATGCGTGTATATTTTTGAGTGACACAAATTGGGGCTTGTTTGGGGTATGGCATTCGTGGGAGGTGTTTGGCTCGAAGGAAAGTGTATAAAAGCGCATGGAGAAACTGATGAGTGTCAAAAAGTTCGGTGGTGTAGTGTCCATTTTGGAGGCTTAATACGACCACATGTGTCTCTGTCACAAGTTCACTTTTTTTCTGTGTGTGTGTTTGTGGAGAATTGTAGGGGCTGGGCCAAAATGGGATCGTTCCATGGCCACTCTGAATTTGCCACGTATTTGGGGTCTCTGGTTTTTTTCTTTTTTGACCTTCTGGAACTTGACTGAGATTGTGATCCATCAAACCTACTTTACGTTTCAGTGCTCTCAAATGTGTTTTTTTGGGAGGATCTATTGGGTTTCAGGCCTTAAACTACATAAGAGAAGATCTTGGGCTGTCTGTCTGTGATAGTTCAGAACAAGCCCACCAACTTTTAGGAATATTTTTTACTTGAAATGTTTCATCCGTACAATTCAATCCCAAATGTATGTGATCAAATTCTATGAAAATTCAACACAATGATTTATGATTTTGAAACAATATATTTTTTTTTTGGTTGCCAAAGTTAAAAGGGGAAGGCGTGAAATGAAATTAGTACACTTTTGCTCTACTGCAGTGGACCACAAAATGAACAATAATACTAGGGACATTAAATTTGTGCACTAAATTTGAGTCCCAAATGATGTGCATGTGCCACGTCAATTAATTCATTTCAACTTGAGTATAATAATGAATCTCCCTTATTTTTTCTCTTTTTTTTCTTTTGCTGTGCTATGTGTGAGGTTCCCCCACTCCCCCTCTTTTTTTATTGACTACGTGTTGTGTAAAGAGGAGAACTAGATGAGGTTAGATCATTTAAATTGAGTGAGCTAGGATTATTTTTTTTTGGTTGGAAAAAAGAAGCCACCTGGGCTGTAGCCCAGGTTTGCCAAACTATAGGTCTGTACCTGGGTGAACTAGGATTTTATTTTTTTAGCTGGAAAAAAGAAACCACCTAGGCTATAGCCAAGGTTTGCCAAACTAAAGGTCCGTCCCTGGATGTACAACTAGGACCTCGAAATTTACGGCAAAGGACAATATACACTCATTCCCATAATTTATTTTACCTGCAAAAAATGTAATTACTGGTTTCAGCTTGCATGTGCATGCATTTGTGCTGCCACCTAATATTTCTAAATCGCACTAATGACATTCTATTCATAGCCAAGACATTTTGAAAGTTCTTTTTGGTCCGAATACACTTTGAAAGTTTCAATTCATTATTTCACTTGCGCTGATTATCACTTCTTACATATTCTATACACATCGATCAGTCCATTTTTTATCATTAATTGTATGTCCTAAAAGTCCACCTATTTTTGGGAGAGTGTTATAAAAAGTCCATTAGCGGACCTATATACTAATGTGAAGGAGAAATTAATGGATGACATTGGAATACAGGTACGGGATGTAACCCGTCTACATGCCATAATATAAGCAGACGACAAAATTAAAATTTCCTCCTTTTAAAATATAATATCATTGAATATCCATTTATGTTATAGCACATATGGACTAATTATACAATGTTGCCGTACTTCATCACCAAACTATGAGTACTCAAGATGAAGTAATATGATTCAAAGTACTTTTGAAAGAAAAGAAAAAAAGCACATGCTAATTAAGAGTTTGTAATAAGTTTATAGTTCTTGTAGTTGAATGTATAAACTTACACAACTAAAAGTCTGTAGCTCTAGTCGTTAAAAGTACGATAGGTCTTCAAATGAAGTTGCAAAGAAAGGAGTTAACCTGTATTTTTCCGTTTGATAAACGCTCTCTAGTGTGGGCCGCCATCAATATATGACCATTAATTTTGCAACCAGAAAGGTACAGTTTCACAGCTGAAACCCTATTTTTTTACACCACCACCATAACTATGACAATTACACACCCCCAGCTGCCCCTCCACGTGGCAGAAACCCACACGATCATTACATGAATTGCTAGCTAGAAAACAAGCAGGTTTTCAACTACAATTACATGACCAATTTTTTTTCCTGTGTGTGCAGAATAGATATACATGTGTACAGCTAGCTCATCTCAATTCTCCACCCTCTTGACCTTTTACCTTAAATTTCACTAGTATAAATACCATGCCAACCAGGAATTAAATATTCTCCAAGGCAAAGACGTCTCTGAATTTTTTGAAAAGAGGTGTTTATATATATTTGAAATGGTTTGCTTTTGTTTTCTGGTAGACCAGAGGAGGAAGGTGCGGCGGAGCAAGCCGGTGGCTGGGACATGTTCGAGATGTGGGCGTGGAGCAAGCGTGGCTGACATAAAGACTTCGACTAGGTTTTGTTATGTTCCATTTTATTGGAAATCTTGGAAGGCAATCATGTGTACTTTTTGTGGAGCGATTCTCAAATCTTACAGATGAATTTTGCAGATATATATTATAGTTTTGGCTTTTGGTCTCTCTCTCTCTCTCTAACTTTTCTGTATGTTAGGTTTGAGTTCGGGACTGTTTTGATGATGAAACTGAAAGTTAGGCTTAGTACTATGTACTTCACGTTTGTTTGTTTGGTTTGGTTTGGTTTTTTCCTTTTCTTTTTCATATTTTGGTGTGAGGAAAGGACTGCATAGAGCTGTGAATATAGGCTGCTGATATTGTCATGGAGGAGATGATAATGAAGGGAAATTTTCTATCTGTTCAGTGCTAGACCAAATATCTTAGAGTTGTTCAATCATATCCACAGCTCCGGGATGTGCTCTTTTATATATATTTTTCTGGTTTTGTAATAAAATCAATGCAAGAAATGGGTTTTATTATAAATTTCTTTTTTTTTATATATTATCGTGTCCATAACCAAAACTATGTAATAGTTTTTTTTTCTTTCTCTTCTCTGATTCTTTGCTATGCCACTCCTTTAGCATTTCCTAGGGTACTAGTTCTATTCTGTCCTAGCTAGTAATGACAGACAAAGACTGTCTACTTTATAGCTAACCCATCTCCTAATTTACAGCTCTTGTTAGCTAGGGTTAACTTGGTGTCGCTATAACACCTAATAATTCATGCAAGGGAATTCCGCAATGAATTGGCCTTCTTAGTATTTTCAATTTTCTCAACCTAGACTCCCTTTCACACGAGCTTGGCTCCCTAAGAGCACTTCCAGCAGTTTTCCCTTTGCCATGGCAAGGGGGGCTAGGGCAGCTACCATTCACGTGAATAGTGGCTGCCCTTGCAAAATATTGTGGTGTTTTCATCCATTGCCATGGCAACAACCACGAGATTTGAGGAGAGAAATTTGTATAGAGTTTTGGTGTGGGAAGTGAAAACTATGGCTAAGTATTTATTTATTTTTAAAAAAAACTGAAATTTTTTGTATTTTTTATTTATTTATAGATTTTTAAAGTTTTTTTTTTTTTTAAAAATCTTTTTTGTTGTTGACGTCATCGTTGACGTTAGCAAACCCAGGCTTGAACTCAGGCTCATCTTGCCTGAGGGTTGGCCTGGTTTCGTGGGCCCCAGCAGCTGCCCTAGCCAGCCCTTGCTGCTGGAAATTATTTTTTGGCCCAAACACACCACCCCCTCCCCAAGCCCGTGTTGCTGGAAGTGCCCTCAAATTTCAAAACAAAGAAAGTTAAAAGAATTTCAAAAAAAGAAAAAAATCAAATGAAATTGGCAATTGTTAAAACTCCATTTGTATAATTAAGGACAAACTCCTCCTCAGTTTTAAGGAGCCAAGCTTTTCCCTTTTCACACCAGCAACATTTTTCTCTCCCAACACAAGTAACGTATTTTCCACATAAAAGGGCATTGATAATTATATGTCAAGGACACTGGCAGAACTAGGTAGAGGGCTACCATGGGCTCTAGCCTAGGTAGCCTTTTTATAAAATTAAAATATATTACATGTATTTTAATGCCCACTCAAATGTAGCATTGTAACCCATTGTCCACTCAATTTTGTAGGCCTATAATCATCTTATATTTAATTTGTTTGCTCAATTAAGAAACATAATCTCTTAATAAACACTCATGATTTTAACTCTCAACCTTTTACTATTTTATCCCAATGTATACTTTTATTTCTAGAAAAACTATAGAAACAGTAGTACCCAAACAAAACTTGGTCCTTAGATTTTAAGCTAATAACTTTAGCTAGTCCACCCTTCGAAAAATTCTTGGTTTCGCCCTTTGATCGAGGAACTTAATTATTATTACCAAGCTATATATATCTTTGAGAGCTAACCCAACTGAGGGGTATGTACAACAACTCAACATGACAACTGTACATACTGTTGTCAATCGACAAAACAAGCTGATATATGGTATTAGCCACATAATTATTAAGGTTTGCCAGCATATGATGTTGTCGCCCACATATTCATGAAAAAAAAAACCTAGTTGTCTGGTTCCCACTATATATGGCTTGTTTTTTATTGGTGGGTCAGGTTTGGATGTTTTTTGTTTTTGTTTTCTGGGATAATGCTTCCCTTCCCTTCCTTGCCCATAGCTCCTCCTTGCAGAGTAATGTGGCTCAACCACAAACTCATATACGCGTTTCTTTTTTTCTTTCTTAAAAGTGCATATATATTAAAGGCCATCCTTTTTGTTGGAGAGAATAACTTACCGGCGATGGGACTATACGCTTTCTTTCTATCTCTCTCATCACATTAACTCGCGTCTTTGTTTCTGTCTTTGTCTTCCCTTTTGCTACCTTCGGCATTTTTGTACTGGGCTTAACCCTTCCCTAAAATCTCATCAAAGTTTTGACATAAGAACTTTCATGCACGGCATTTTCTAATTTAAACACATAATATGTTACAAATTTTTTATATACATGTTATGCTTTAACTGGATTCTACCACGGAATTTACCACATGATAAGGAAAAAGATTGGGAATTTGGGATGGGCCTTCAACATAGGCCAGCGATAATTAATTAAACTTTGGGCTGGAGATATATAATTAAAGCCAGCCCAAACCCTAATTCAAATACAAAAAGCCTTGTCGACACTAGCTATGGCAGTGATAGGTGCGTGACGTCACGTCTGTGGTAGAGATGAAATGGAGCCCACAGAAACCTAAATTGGCAATGTGACAAGAAGTAGCGACGTGTCTCTGATATTTGAATTAGAAAAGATGAAAGTTGACGTCAACCATGTGGCTTTGCATGACAGCGTAAGAGAGTCGTGCAGCCCACCCACACACGTGGGACGTTGCTTTCGCTTTCTTACTCTCTCTCTGCGCTGCCGCTCTTGCATGCATAATGCACCCCACACCGCACAAAATTCTCTCAAAATTAAATTGACGAAACTGCCCTTGCGAAGACCAAGAAAAATCAATTGTTGCAACTTGTAGTAAAGCTGTAACTCGCACGGCATTGCCAGAAGAGTCTTGACTCGTGAGTCATGTGGGTTACAGCTTACGTCTGAGAATGTTTCGTCTGAGTCACCACTTTCGTCTGAGAAGGTTTCGTCCGAGTCACCACGTCATTAGTGTAACCATTTTTACAAGAAACAGGGATTAGCTTGGATCCGAGTGAAACCTTAATGCCGGAAGTTGTGTTTACTTGAAGAAACAAGCCCCCATATACTCATTATCGGCAAGTAAAACGCCCAAATTTTTATGAGTGGTGGTATATGCGACGCGATTGAGTCATCCCACCCAAGATTTTATTTCCGCGTAGAGTAAGGTATCGAAGGATGTTGTTGGTTTGACTTTGACAGATTTAATTAGAAGGGAGACAGAGTCATTTGGTTGATGTCTTTTCAATGAATTTCAAAGGAAGGGAAGTGGGAAGTGGTAACTGGTAAGGGACAGGACAGGACGCTCCTCTCGCCTCTAGTCACGGGGACCCCTTAACGTGAATGCCGGTGTCTCGCTGTCCTGGTGTCTTTTCAAATTTTTAATTTACAACGTTTAAGCCTGTTTATTAATCATTAGTCGCTTTAAGCTCCCCCCAACCAATTTTTGACTTAAACAACTTGTACTTGAAAAATGATGTTTAGTTACCACTTTGCAGGAACTCTTCTGTTAATTTACAATTAGTCAAAACACTAATCCATACAATACAAGAAACTATATGTTGAAATTGGTATGTTTATTTAAAATATATATATATAATTCAATAATTTAATAATTACCTTAAATTATCGTTATTAATAGGAGTTATTTTCTATTAATATGGGCTGATTTTCTCAACTGATGCTATAAGTTCACCAACGTCTCTTTGGGGGTATACTATGTGTGTGTATATATATATAGCTAGGAGATAAAGGATATACATACGATAGTTGTTGTCTTTTTCTTCTTTATTTCATGAAATTCTATCTTTCTCTTATTTCCTGAACTAAGTTTTCTGAGCTATAGTTCCTTTCATTAGTCGTTTAGAGTTTGTGAGGCTTTCAACATCGTTAACATAATATCTATATTTATACGTCATCTGTATGTTAATATCTCTAAAAATTCAGTGCCAACAAACTCCAATTATGAAAGAATTGATTTTAACTTATACAAACAAAAACCGTGAAACTTTTGAGATTAGAAAAAGAGTCGGTAAGATATTATTAGCATGACTATCTTGTCTTTGGCATATGTCCTTTTCTTGAGTCACAAACAAACTATAAATATATAATATTTATCCAATTACCAACTAAATAAAAAAAATTAATATTTGTTAAATTTAAGTTTAAAGTTGCTATGTTAAAGAATAAAGGAGATAGGGACGTTGGTGAGTTGATGATGATTCATGGCCATGTGCTTGAAAGCGGCGCATTATAATTTTATAGCAGAAAAGCTCAGCCTTTGAATTTCCATGGAGGGCTGGCTTGTTCTTGTTCCACGTCAACTCTGGATTCTGCACTTCTACTCTATTATATATGTCGTTTACCACCGCTGTATGAACTATATATATGACTAGCTATTACCCACGTAAAACGCGCACATATTAATGTCGTCCACATTTTAAAACTGGATTAAATCTTAGTCATGATTTATCCCTTAAAAGTTCTAATTAAATTCTGTGTACAAAAAAGGAGGGTTTGTCAAGCACCTAATGTTCTCTTACCCAACCAATGTAGTTGGAGAGATAAATTTTGTTGATGAACTTTGATATGTTAATTTCAATTTTGTTCTTCAACTTTGAAAAGTATGTTAAGCTTTCAACGTAAGGGCGAAGCCAGATTTAGGCGAGAGATGGAAGGAAAATTGATATATTTTATAGGTCTCTTTGTGGAAGGAAATTGATATAATCCTGCTTTTAATATAAATGGCTGCCAAATTTCCCTAACAACATGAATATATAACAGTAAATTTGTACTATATATATTACTTTATAAGAATTTTTTTTTTTGGGCATATTGCTTGATAACAGTTCCACGTGTCATAGCATTATTGGTCGGAGATAGTAAAACTGAAACATAGACCTCCGATGCATAGACCTCTGACAAGAACACTACAACACAAAGCACACTATCTCCAGCCACCTCCAATAGCAATTGGAGGTGAAAGAAGAGAAATCTACAAGGAACAACACAAAGAAGAGACTAACCCCGCAGACAGGCTAAGAAAGAAAATAAAATAAAATAACTCATAAGCACGCCATATCATCTCCACACTGACAAAGAAACCTCCTATAAAAACATAGTCCTTGAGACAAGCGGATAATCAAAGATCAGCTAAGGGGAAAACGAAGAAAACACCACACAATAATAACAAAACTGGCCTAGCCACTTACCTGAACACGGGGATCAAGCACATGAGTATTCACTGGATGCCAAGCCCACGAATGCTCCAAGAACACATTAAGGAAGGCGCCCAGACCACTGGGCCAGTCTCCATAGGTTTGTCAGGAGGGACACCAACATCACCCGAATTCGCAGTCCCCATTGCAGAGTAACCAGCCAAACACGTAAAGATGGGTAAAAGGATGGTACCCAACAACCCTAATTGCCAAAAACCTGGCCCAACACTGTGAAAAAGAGGACCAAAGCTATAGATCCTAGGCGAAGTGTCACCCACGCCAAATCTCTAGAAAGCGGCCGTATTCTCCTGAAGGTAAGGCTTGAGATTGAAGATCAGATGAAGGAGGAGGCGTGAGGAAAGCCCTCCATCGTGACCGCCGACCCCAACGAAGCAGCTTGCACCATAGTCGCTGTTGACTTGGAGACTGTAGGCACAATAGCAGTAGCAGACCCACTGAAACCACCATACTAAGGCAACCACCAGAAATGTTGATGCACCAAGGAGAAGGTGAACGGCGAAACCAACACCCAGGATCTGAGAGAGACAACAACTGAGGCCAGCACCCCAGAGTTGAAGAGAAGAGTGACGGTAGCAACTCGACATAGGAGAAAAGTGACTCGACACTGTCAAGTCAAGGAGGGTGACGACGACTAAACGTCGATGAATATGAGCGTTGTCAGGCCGAGGAGGGGATGACGGCTAAACGTGAAAACCTAAACCCTAATATTTGACGCACATCTCTCCTCGCTTAGCAAGTGAGTGACCCATATAAAAAAAATTACAATAATTTGAGAATTATAATATTGATTACTAATATAAAATTTGGTTATCCCGTTATAATTAAGTTTTTCTCCTCATGTAGGTAATGGTTACTCAGTAAGTCAAAATGATTATATAATTAAACTTTGTATTTCATATTTTGGTCTCCACCGCTACTCCTACTACTGTTCTCTTAAATTAGTTTTGCAAGATGATCGATAAGGCTGGAAGGTCTCGGTCTAAAATGATAGTTGCTTAGTTAGTTTTGGCCTTTTCCACCATGTAGATGTAGCCGAAAGCAAAACATAGCTAGCAACCCAACAACAACGTAGTTTTTTCACTCAATAAAAGAGAGCATATATATTTTCCACTTGTAGTTTGTCTTCTTAGACTTATTTTCTTTAGAGTGTTGAAAACAAATGTTGAATTTGAACTACAATAATTAGGAGAGTGAATAACACCTAGCTAAAAGAACTAAGGGTTCATTTGATGGCCTATTTGGATTGGATTGGAATTGAGTCTAAATCAGTCCTTATGAGTCATATTCTTCTAGGTGTGGGATTTGTAAGACACAATATGTTGAACTGTTATCTATTTTAACAAGTTCAGTTCGAGCGCACCAAACAACGGTCAGGACTCTTGTCCATTTTAATTGGAATAGTCTAAACCAGTCTCCCCCACCAAACATGACCTAAAGTTAATAAGGTATGGTAGCTAACTCTAGTTTCACTTGACTTATCATATTTCATTAAATTTTTAAGGGGAATCCTTCAAAAATAGAAAATTAGGTGGAATCTTACAATTTGGCAAGTCAATTTCCTATGATTAATTTCAATTCATACTTGTCACTATGATTCAATGGTGAGGCCCATTATGCATGTGATACAGTTGTATAAGACACAAACGGTAATCAAATAAAAGATTGACAAGCCTCTATATAACACGGTTTGCCAATGAATGACACCTCATGCATTTATGTTATTTGTCATTTGGCGATTTTATATGTCCTATCGAAAGAATAAAACCAAATTATAAATAAATCATCTATAATCTTTCGTTAAATTCTAACTCAAGTTTAACTATAAGATAATATCGCTTAAAACCTAGCTTCAAGTCTCCAAGTTGTCTAAACTCTTTTCTAATCCTAAGCCTAATCTTCTCCAAGAATTAAGATACCAACTCTTTGCCGTGTGTAAGATTATAAAAGCATCTCTAATATTTCGTTAAATTCTAACTCAAGTTTAAGTATAAGATAATATTGCTTAAAACCCAGCTTCAAGTCTCCAAGTTTTCTAAACTCTTCCTAATCCTAACATTCTCAAAAATATTAAATAAATAAATAAATAAAAATAAAATTTTGGGGTTCTCTAGATTTAATTCAACCATTGAAATGACCCAGAAGTGCTTCTAAACTTTTCTGTCAAACGTTATCAGAAGCACTTTTAGCCATTCCAAAAACACTCCCAAACATGCCCTAATTTTCTCTATGACAATTTGCATAAGACATTTGTGTTCATATAAGGTGTCACATGATTGGTAATGGAAAATGAATTTAATTGTAAGATATGTCAATAATTTTTATACCCACTTTTCATCAATAGAAACTTTAAAACTTATTACAAATTTGGCCAAAAGTTCTTAATTTTTGTTGTTGAAGCAAATCAATACCAAGAGAACTAGTTCTTAGCAGTGCTATACAATTGTGGCATAATTGGATTGGGAAATCACTTAACTTGCAAAGCCTAGAACTCGTCAAAAAGCTAAAGTCGAGAGTTTTTGTTACCATTGAGTTTGAAGTATTTGTGTGTGTATATTTTTTTAAGAAGGAAGAGGAGTTTCACACACATGTACTACCAAAATGTCATGGGAGTTCGAATATGAGTTTGAAGTATTTCTGTTGAATGTTGAGTGTGTGTTATATTAACCGAAAAGGGCTTTTTTTCTGAAGTAAATTAATATAAATTATATATTAATTTGAGTTTTGAAATATATAAGCCAAAAACAAAACATTTTTCGATATAAGTGCTTAAAGTTTTCTTTTTAAAAAAGTATCAAATTTTCGTGATTCACGCTGTTAAAAAGCCGTCAGAGAAGAACACACCCGCTACCAAACGGTCCAGTGAACTTTTATAAACTCTGCTTCCTCTTCATCTCAAAGCCGCGTAAGTGCGGGTCCCAGCAGAGCAACCATTCTGTTCAAAGTAAATATTAGGTTATCAGACAAAAGAAATCTCTTGCATATTTATGAACCTTCAAAAAATAGAAAAAGAAAAAAAAGAGAAATAAATTAACAGTGCCAAGGCTCAGTTACAGAAATTTCATGGCGTTTTCTGTTATATTATATTCCAATCTTTCTAAAGATTCTGAGCATCAAAATCAAACTACACTATCTATTAACACAGCTGGTTTCATGGGAGGGATATGAATTTTTGAAGTTTCATATCCATTTTTCTTCTTTGTGGGTCCTCCTCCATATTTTGGCACTGTAATTGACAGCCTAATCAACAGCCTGGAAAGGGTGGTTATAACCGCACTAAAAGGCTCGAGCTTGATGGGTTTTTGTGGTGGGGTTCACGTATTCTCAACTGGGTTTCTCTTTGGCACAGACCCAATTCACTCTGCAGCAAATTCTTTCCATTTTGCTCTCCCATTGAGGTAAGAGCTCTCAGAAAGCTCAAATCTTTGTCTGTTTATGTTGGAGAATTTGAGGGGCGAGTTCAACTTTGCTCTGCACTTGAGCAATGTTGGTATTTATGTCTTTTTTGGTAATGCTAGGATTTTACTACTTGGTTTTTAATTGGCTTTTTGTGTATTGAGTTGGATAGATCTGGGGTAGCTCAGTTTTTTGGGTTTTGGGTTTGAGTCATTGGAGAACTGGGTTTTCGGCATTTGGGATTGTGAGGACTTGCTTTTGGCGAATTGAGTATTGTAGGATTTGAGTTTTTAGATCTTGGTTGATTGATTGGGTTTGATTGTGGCAGCTTTTCAATTGCTGCTTGAGAAAGTTGGCATTCTTTTCCTTCATTTGCCGTTGAGGATCTGGTTTTTTTGACATGGTGAAGATGAAACTAGTAAAGTTGGTACCTTTGGTTCTTGCTTTTGTATTGCTTATGAGTCTTAGATCATCTGCTTCATTCACTCCTATCGATAACTACTTAATTGCTTGCGGTTCTTCGAAAAGCATCACATTTCAAGGTCGAACCTTTGTTCCTGATACACAACAATCTTCCCTTGTACTAAAAAGTGCAAATTCTGTAGTTGCTAGCTCCAATTCTACTGTCCCTTCTCCAATTTACCAATCTGCTCGAGTTTTCGAGGTAGCAGCTTCTTACAAATTCAAAATCCAGCAAGAAGGCCGGCATTGGGTCCGCCTTTATTTTTACCCTCTTACAAGTCCTGGCCAAAACTTGGAGTCTGCTCAACCCAACAACAACGTAGTTTTTTCACTCAATAAAAGAGAGCATATATATTTTCCACTTGTAGTTTGTCTTCTTAGACTTATTTTCTTTAGAGTGTTGAAAACAAATGTTGAATTTGAACTACAATAATTAGGAGAGTGAATAACACCTAGCTAAAAGAACTAAGGGTTCATTTGATGGCCTATTTGGATTGGATTGGAATTGAGTCTAAATCAGTCCTTATGAGTCATATTCTTCTAGGTGTGGGATTTGTAAGACACAATATGTTGAACTGTTATCTATTTTAACAAGTTCAGTTCGAGCGCACCAAACAACGGTCAGGACTCTTGTCCATTTTAATTGGAATAGTCTAAACCAGTCTCACCCACCAAACGTGACCTAAAGGAAATAAGGTATGGTAGCTAACTCTAGTTTCACTTGACTTATCATATTTCATTAAATTTTTAAGGGGAATCCTTCAAAAATAGAAAATTAGGTGGAATCTTACAATTTGGCAAGTCAATTTCCTATGATTAATTTCAATTCATACTTGTCACTATGATTCAATGGTGAGGCCCATTATGCATGTGATACACCATTCTGTTCAAAGTAAATATTAGGTTATCAGACAAAAGAAATCTCTTGCATATTTATGAACCTTCAAAAAATAGAAAAAGAAAAAAAAGAGAAATAAATTAACAGTGCCAAGGCTCAGTTACAGAAATTTCATGGCGTTTTCTGTTATATTATATTCCAATCTTTCTAAAGATTCTGAGCATCAAAATCAAACTACACTATCTATTAACACAGCTGGTTTCATGGGAGGGATATGAATTTTTGAAGTTTCATATCCATTTTTCTTCTTTGTGGGTCCTCCTCCATATTTTTTTTTTGGTGAAAGTCCTCCTCCATATTTTGGCACTGTAATTGACAGCCTAATCAACAGCCTGGAAAGGGTGGTTATAACCGCACTAAAAGGCTCGAGCTTGATGGGTTTTTGTGGTGGGGTTCACGTATTCTCAACTGGGTTTCTCTTTGGCACAGACCCAATTCACTCTGCAGCAAATTCTTTCCATTTTGCTCTCCCATTGAGGTAAGAGCTCTCAGAAAGCTCAAATCTTTGTCTGTTTATGTTGGAGAATTTGAGGGGCGAGTTCAACTTTGCTCTGCACTTGAGCAATGTTGGTATTTATGTCTTTTTTGGTAATGCTAGGATTTTACTACTTGGTTTTTAATTGGCTTTTTGTGTATTGAGTTGGATAGATCTGGGGTAGCTCAGTTTTTTGGGTTTTGGGTTTGAGTCATTGGAGAACTGGGTTTTCGGCATTTGGGATTGTGAGGACTTGCTTTTGGCGAATTGAGTATTGTTGGATTTGAGTTTTTAGATCTTGGTTGATTGATTGGGTTTGATTGTGGCAGCTTTTCAATTGCTGCTTGAGAAAGTTGGCATTCTTTTCCTTCATTTGCCGTTGAGGATCTGGTTTTTTTGACATGGTGAAGATGAAACTAGTAAAGTTGGTACCTTTGGTTCTTGCTTTTGTATTGCTTATGAGTCTTAGATCATCTGCTTCATTCACTCCTATCGATAACTACTTAATTGCTTGCGGTTCTTCGAAAAGCATCACATTTCAAGGTCGAACCTTTGTTCCTGATACACAACAATCTTCCCTTGTACTAAAAAGTGCAAATTCTGTAGTTGCTAGCTCCAATTCTACTGTCCCTTCTCCAATTTACCAATCTGCTCGAGTTTTCGAGGTAGCAGCTTCTTACAAATTCAAAATCCAGCAAGAAGGCCGGCATTGGGTCCGCCTTTATTTTTACCCTCTTACAAGTCCTGGCCAAAACTTGGAGTCTGCTCAATTCACTGTAGTTACTGATCATTTTGTACTCTTGACCAACTTCACTTTCAAGAACTATAATGGTTCTTATCTGTTCAAGGAGTATGCAATCAATGTAACTTCAGATACCTTGACTCTCACCCTCATTCCTTCAAACAATTCAGTTGCTTTTGTTAATGCAATTGAAGTTGTATCTATCCCGGATGCACTGCTCTCTGACCAGGCATATGCTGTGAATCCATCTGCTCCTTTTAGTGGCCTTTCTGACCTTGCCCTTCAAACAGTTTACCGGTTAAACATGGGGGGTCCTTTGCTCACTGCTCAAAACGATACCCTTGGAAGAACTTGGGAGAATGATCTGAAATACCTTCATGTGGACAGTTCTGCAGTGAATGTATCAGTCAACCCTGCGAGCATTAAATATCCACAGGCTGTCACAGCCGAAATCGCACCAAATTGGGTCTATGCGACTGCCGAAGCCATGGGAAATGCGAATGTGCCCAATGTGAACTTCAACATAACTTGGGTCCTTACGGTTGATCCAAATTTCTTGTATCTTGTTCGGGTGCATTTCTGTGATATTGTCAGCAAGGCTCTGAATAGTCTTGTTTTCAATGTTTTCGTGAATTCTGACAATGTGCTCGCGAGTCTTGACCTCTCTTCCATTACTGGTGACTTGGGTGTGCCTTATTACAAAGACTATGTGTCCAACTCCTCAGCGGGAACTTTGACTGTCAGTGTTGGTCCAGATTCAATGGCGGATATCACTAATGCAATTCTGAATGGGTTGGAGGTCATGAAGATCAGCAATGAGTTGGGGAGCTTGGATGGGTCTCTATCAGTGGGGAATATCCTTCCTAGTTCACCCTCGAAGAAGAATAATATAGGAATCATAGTTGGTTCTGCTGTAGGAGCTGTATCTGTTATGGCAATTATTGGTCTCTTTTATTGCTGCTTGGCATTCCGCAAGTCAAAGAGTACTAACCAAGGGACATGGCTGCCTTTGCCTTTGTATGGAAATTCTCAGACCATGACAAAAATGTCTACAACTTCACAAAAGAGTAACACAGCAAGCTGCATTTCATTAGCTTCCTCCAATCTTGGCCGCTTCTTCATGTTCCAGGAAATTCTGGATGCAACCAACAAGTTTGATGAGAGCCTACTTCTTGGAGTTGGTGGTTTTGGTAGGGTTTACCAGGGAACACTTGAAGACGGGACAAAAGTAGCTGTTAAAAGAGGAAACCCGAGATCTGAACAAGGTCTTGCTGAATTCCGAACTGAAATTGAAATGTTATCTAAGCTCCGCCATCGCCACCTTGTGTCTCTGATTGGCTACTGCGATGAAAGGTCAGAAATGATTCTGGTCTATGAGTACATGGCCAATGGACCCCTCAGGAGCCATTTGTATGGAACAGATCTCCCAACCCTATCATGGAAGCTACGGCTCGAAATCTGCATTGGGGCTGCAAAGGGGCTCCATTATCTCCACACTGGTGCAGCTCAAAGCATAATTCACCGAGATGTGAAGACAACCAATATTCTCTTGGATGAGAACTTTGTAGCCAAAGTTGCTGACTTTGGCCTCTCAAAAACAGGTCCAGCTCTAGATCAGACCCATGTGAGTACAGCTGTTAAGGGTAGTTTTGGTTACCTTGATCCTGAATACTTTAGAAGGCAACAGCTCACAGAAAAATCAGATGTGTATTCATTTGGGGTAGTTCTAATGGAAGTTCTGTGCACAAGACCTGCTTTGAATCCTGTTCTTCCCAGGGAGCAGGTCAACATAGCAGAATGGGCGATGACCTGGCAAAAGAAGGGCATGCTAGACCAAATCATGGACCCAAATCTGGTAGGGAAGGTAAATCCAGCTTCTCTTAAGAAGTTTGGGGAGACAGCTGAGAAGTGCCTTGCTGAGTATGGTGTTGACAGGCCATCAATGGGAGATGTCTTGTGGAATCTTGAATATGCTCTTCAGCTTGAGGAAACGTCATCTGCACTCATGGAACCTGAAGATAACAGCACAAACCACATACCTGGTATCCAATTAACTCCTCTTGAGCCATTTGATAACAGTGTGAGCATGATTGATGGGGGGCACTCTGGCACAGATGACGATGGAGAAGATGCTGCCACAAGTGCTGTGTTTTCTCAGCTTGTTAATCCTCGCGGAAGATGAGAAGACAGATCATTTGCCTGTCTGAGTCTTGGCCTCTAATGTCCCATTAAAAGATACTAGTCATCTTGGCCTTGAGAGTGCTCAGTGAGGGAACAAGGTTCTTTCTTAGTTCATTATTCTAGTTGTTGCCTCAAATTTCTGTCTACGATTTATTTTGTAATATAGTTTTGGTGGGTGCCAATTAATCCATCAGCAGTTAAGGTGCCAAAGGATTTTATTCTTGTCTACATATATAAATTCGTCTGGGTTTCAGAGCTTCCCATGTTTCTACAAAAGTAAATGATGTCATTGTATTCACATATTTTATTGTTCATAAGATATAGAGAATAAGCAGAGTATGTGACCTCTGTATGCTTGCAAGTTCCAGAACTCGTTATTATTTCCTTCATACAAAATTTCTGATATTATATTAAACTATTTTCACATTATTATCAGAATCTTGTTCTTGGAGGAAACACTAAAAATATCCTAAAGGATTATCTAAGAAATGACTACAAATTTGGCATGCTCTCAGATAACTATTGGGAAACAATTTCTTCTAGTTATGTAATAGACGAAAATTTCTTTCTCGGCTAGCTGAGCAGATCTAAGGCAGGAAGAGAACAATTTGAAATTGTTTTTAGGTCTTGATATGAAGGACTTCGTAGATAGTGAGTGAAGAATGCAATTATAGGTCAGATTAGGTGCTGAAAAGTTGCCACACCCACAGGTAATGCTTCTGTCTTTCTGCGCATATATTTAGGCCTGCCGGACTTTATTCCTTGACATGTTTGAAAATCCGATGTCCCTGAAGCTTCCTTGAGTTCCTAAAGAATCAAATGCCTCCTTGCCTGAGACCTCCAGCTAGTTGATGCACCGATGGTCCACGAGCAGTATAACTCCTAAACCATGAAGTACCTTTTCCTCTAAACTTTGAGTTCTTGGCAAAGACAATTAGAGTGCTGTAAGAGCAGCCTTGGGTAGAAAGTTAAATTGTACCACTTTAAGAACTATGAACACTATTCACTTGCTTAACCAGGCTTGTATACTTATAGCCTTTGTTTCCTCTGTTTTCTCATAAACCAAATGAGTGGTTGAAAGAAAGGTTTCTGAATTGTCTTGAAATGGAGTTTCCAATTTTGGTAGGCTTTTGGTTTCTCTTAACATCTTAAGAACTGATACTTCTCCTAACCCTTATTTTTATTTATTTATTTATTATTGTTCCTTTTCCTTCCCAAAACTCAAGTTATAGACCGGATCTCCCAAAACCACGGTATTCTTCTCTGGCATTTAAAATTTTACATGTCATAAATCTCTATTGTTGAATCTCAATTACCATACATGAGTTTACAAGTGAGTTGTCAGTCTTTCTTAAGGTATTTCCTATGCTGATAGAAAGCATGGAACTTAAATTTCTTCATCAACTGCACACTTTCATTTATTTGGGGAATGCAAAAATTTAGCATAAAAGGCTCAGCCAAACTTACTGAACAAACGAATTCTAGAAATTAACAGTACACACAAGAGAAATACTTAATTAAATCTCGACTGTTATATGAAATCATCAATAAGCACCTCTTGACCACACAACTTTAATTATCATCTGAGAAGTTGAAACCTTCACTTATTCCTTGAGAATGTGACAATAGCAGTTATTTCCTGCAAACTATTCCATTCCCACCGAAGGAATTACCAGTACAATCGAGCTTTCCGTAATCCATCACCCTTGAATCTGTTTGGTCCAGCTTCCCGGATTGAGTGAACACACAAGCAATGCAGTCTGCAGAGACAAGTGATGTTGTTCTGTACTTTTGTTCACCTCCCACCACTGGCATAGCTACTCCAGGCTTTGCTGGGTTCTTGAAATCTGGCTGGTAAGTCCTTCCAAGCACTCCTTCAACATTTGAGGATAGGCCATAGAATCTGAACTGTACTTCCAGGTGAGCAAAACAGTCATCCGATGGTATCTGATAATTGTGGATCCTGTCATCTTCCTTTGTCACAGGTACCACATTTACTGAAATCTCAGCAACTTCTGGGAGAGTGATTAAGACACTGTTCTTGCTTGATGTTCGCTCCACTCTAATGGCATTGCCTGGAGATTGCCACACAGAGAGATGGGATTCTGGGATGACTAACTCCTCTCCATTGTAAGTGAATTTCAAGAGGTCAATTTCATCATCCCATGCTGATGCTTTGGTGGCCTCAAGGGAGAAGCTGTTAGAGTCAAAAAGGAGTCCGAGGGCCTGAATCCAAGTATAGTCCCTGGTTCGTCCTTCAGGGCGGAGACCAATGAACCGGGCATTGATTTGGAGGTTGGGATCAGAAACTAAGCTGAAGTACTCATTTTTCTTGCCGTGGAAGTAAAAGACAATGCCATCTCCACCAATGAAGCGAGGGTCCATGCATGCTGATCCAGGGCCATCGCAATTAGGCTTGCGCTCTATGATCATCACCAACAACAACAACAAAAACAACCCTTGTCAGCAATGATTTTAGCCCAGGTTTGTTGAATTTAATACATTCCGAAACAAAAAAAGAAAACAAAGAGTGAGATTACATTATAAAGACATCACAGTAGGAGTTACTTACTTTTGCACTCAGCTTTGCATATGGGCGAGTCGCAGTTGAGGTAGCAAATTTTAGCCTTCTTGTCTGTTGGTGAAGCCAATGGACATTCCTTTGGGCAGGGTATCTGCTTGAGAAAGCAGGGGCTTTTCCGGCCGTAGCAAACTTTGATATCTGAAGTTCCCTTACTCTGTGCTAGAACAGCAGCAGATACAAAGAGTAGCACAATGATCAGTGTCTTTTTGTTGCCTAAGAAATCCATGGCTTCTTTTTTCCCCTCTTCAATGGAATGAAATGATGATATATATAGCTCACACCCCTTTAACCTAATCTAACAAGTGGGTATTATGGCATTATCTTTTTCGAATGTACACATTCCAAGTTTGGTAAGAGGAAGAACATGGGCTCTAGGTGGTTCCCTCAAATGCTTTGCGGGATGGTTAATCTTGGTCAATGCTTTGGGGCTGGTGATTGTGATTGAAGAAATAGCTATTGTTGACAATTTGATCATTATTTTATTTATATTTTTCTCTTTTGTTTTTGCTTTGGATCTGATTCAGAATGTGAGTTTGCTGGTGATTTGACAATATCAATACCATATTTTGCACCCGATAAAAGGGCTCTGTATGCCTGCATTGTCTGCTGTTACTTTACTTTATTTTTTTCTTTCTTAATTGCTTGTGCTTTCTGTTGTACGGTATCAACGGAAATTAGAATTATATATTATCACCCTTCTTGCAACTTGCCCAATTGGCCCATTATTGTTGTACATTATAATATCATTTGTTCACGAAATCAATAAAAAGAAATGCATTCATTCAATGAACATTTCTTATGGGTTTGGACCAAATTTGGGCATAAGCTGAATCTGGCAAGCCAATAGATAATTTTACATACTTTTTTTTTCCTCTCTACTTTCTAGGTTAAAAGTTTAAGGTATTTTAGTCCTGGTCCCACAAGTGCACCCGGGTTTGATTCTCGTTAGAGACAGTTTTGAGGCAACCCAATATAATACTCCTCTCTCCCTCTCCCTAGCAAATGACAAAAAAAAGAAGGTATTTTAGTCCTGGCCAATATGAGACAAGTGCTTAGCATTGTTTGGTTTTTCACCAGAGTTTTAGAGGGTTTGAAGCTGTTTTTGTGCGTGCAATAACACCAACTTTGTGAGTTAAATAACATCTTTCTTGAAAATTGAAATGGCATCCAATAAGAACATTTTGCACCCTTAATCTTCCTTGTTTTGATGGAAAGAACTACAACTGGTACAATTGCAGAATAAAATACTCTAAATTTGACACAACCAGAATCAGAATAAAATACTCTAAAACAGGACAATATTATTTTGATAGTATTGCCGTGGTTGCTAAGTAATTGAGAGCAAATGGAGAACAAGTCGTTGATTAGAGATTCGTTGACAAATTCTTAGAAGTATAACTAGGAAAATTTAAACATAGTCTTAGGCTAGTACATGAGCTGTTTAAAAGCAGAGAGCTTTCGAGAGAAGCAAACAAAGCTCATTAATATTAGAGATCTTATATACAGGTTGAGTACAATTAGCTTAATTAACCATGATTGGAATAATATTTACAACTAAGTGACTAACTGCCTAACTAATGCGAAGTTGCCTAACCACAGTCAATGTTCTTGAATTGGTGAGCTGGACTCCTAGATTGGTGACTTTGAGTACAAGTAAAGATCTGATTGGACTGCTGTATTGTATCACTCTTGAGCAACATTTTCTTGCAACTCAATTTTCAAAAGGGTAAGTTGCAACCATGAGTTCCTATCATGATACCAAAGCAGATTTCCTAGAAAAACTGAGGTTGAGTTCATGGAAGGGCGGGTTATAGGTTGCATTAAAATGAACATTAGTTTTATGTGTGGTCATATTGTCGAGTCATTCAAGGTGGTAGATCAGTGAAAGCCGCCTCAAAGGAACGAAAGAGACACCATTAGGTTATCGAGCTAATGTCGCTAGAGTGAGGTGACTACGAGTGCGTCACTACTAAAAAAAACGGACACCAACCCAAGTAAAATTTTTTGAGAGTTGAAAATAAAATTATACTATAGATGCTTATTTAGTTAAATCAACATAAATTCCCACAAAAAAGGATCATGCTATTTGTAGGAACATAGCAACATGTAAGCTGGAGTATATCAACAACCAGATTGGTCATACTTATACAACAATTGGATTTATGCAGTATTAGATAAAAACCATGTTGTTTTTGCTCACACAAATTTTGTTTGGGGTGTCTAAAGTCTGCATTATATTGTGTAAGCAAACGAATCATATTTACCAAATGAATATTTGGTCTGTCCCTTCTCTTGTATTTGTACTATTATGTATCAACAACTAGATTAATCATATTTATATAGCAATTGGATTAATGTTGGCATGATCCACTGCTGGTATATGATGGACAAAGATGATGAAATGTTAGGATCCTAATATCACACATTCAACCAATAGAGAGCATCTTGGACTAGCAAATGAGCTTTTGGGCACCTCTCCTTTCCGGAGAAAGTTCTATCCATGAATTCCTTCCTATCACACTACAGCCCTATGAGCTTAATTAGATTGAAACAATTGAATTCAACTTTTTTCCCTCTGATACAAGCGATAATGGGAGAGGGGAAATTCAAACCGAACAGGACCTTGGTCGGTCTAGAGGTAAATGCTCTTTATAATAACTTTCGTAAAGCAACTATTGAAAATCGAAAAAAGAAAACAAAGGGGTCATGTCAAATGTCACAATTGCTAGAAGTTTGGTCATTACGCATTATTATTATGTGACATATGGATGTCAAATTTTTCTTCATGGATTTCTCTGCAAGAATAAACTTCTGTAGTACGGTCATTGCATCAGAGCTTTTGGTTTTAGCATCTGAGTGGTACAATAATTACAATATCATAACAATTTTCTGGTCTAACAATATCATAATCTTTGCCTCCAAATGTTTAATATTAGTGAAACCAATAGGATTAGGGGGGACCATTTTCGTCACCATATAGTTTGGTATGAACTCAATGTCACTCACTGGAATTATTGAACAGCAGATGTTGGATTTATTGGATAAAAGATGCTCCTGAACATTTATAAATACTACTAATCTCACTCACCATGTACCTAAAATCCCAGTTATATTTTCCAAAGCTCCATACCTGAAAGATTTTCGGGGTTCGGAGAGCTAGCCATGGCTGTCAAAGAGAAAAAGGATCAAAAAACAGTTGGTGTTGGAGTTGAAGCCCTGTGGAGAGCTATGGCTAAGGATACAGTTACTGTTATACCAAAGATAATGCCTAGTATTGTGCGCAGTATTGAAGTGATTGAGGGAGATGGTGGCCTTGGTTCTGTTTTGCTCCTCAATCTTGGCGATCGTGAGTACCGAAATTTTATTTTTGCAATTGAAAGGTGGAATTTGATTAAATCAAGGATAGAATATCTCAGTTTTAGTTCGTGGAAGGAACTTCTATTTCTATATGGAAAATTTTAAGATAAATTTATAATAAAACTCATTTCTTTCATTGAATTTATATATAAACACTGAAATTTATAAATTGAAGAAACAAACCCAAAAAAGGTCAACTTTAATTTTGTTTAAAATTTGAATGATGTGTGAAATACTATTTTTATCGCTACATTATGATTTTTAGAATAAAATATAGTGATGTCATTGTTGTAAATTTTAGGTTTTTCAAAGCTTGTATGATATATTTAGTCCGTTTGAAAAGTCAAGTGGGTTTATTGATGTTTGGTAGCCGGTATGGCGGCTTGTGTGGAGCTAGGGTATGGGCTGTCAATGGATTAGAATTTGATCCGGATCCGATATAATTAATAGGACATGAATTTGGTGGCATAATTCGATAACTTGATTATGTTCCGAATCCATTCATAAATACGGTGAGCTTTTGTAAATAAATAAAACTATTTTCAACTATTTGTATATATGACATAAAAGAATTTGGAGAGAGATAGATGGTAGCCGGTATGGTGGCTTGTGAAGTGCTGGTATGGGCTGTCAAGGGATCATATTTTGATCCGGATCCAATGTAATTAATAGGAAATGGATTTGGTGGCATAATTCGATAACCTGATTATGTTCCAAATTTGTTCATAAATACAGTGAACTTTTGTAAATAAAAAAAACTATTTTCAACTATTTGTATATATGACATAAAAGAATTTGGACCGGGTTATCGGATAATTCAACAAATCGGATATGGATTGTGAATGATCCGTTAGATTTTCGGATAAGATCGAGTTGAAATTATTTTGAAATTGGATCTAGTCGGATTTCATGTGCTCCGCTCCATCTCCGACCTGTTTACATGTCTAGTATGGGTGGCGGGGGACAAGGGATGGCAATTTTCCCCGCGGGTAAGGGTCTTCGCGGGGATTCAACCCTAATGAGTCAGTTATGAAGGACAAAAAACAGGTATGGGGACGGGTATAGGAAATTTTTGGGGTATGGTGTTGGAGGAGGGACGGGGATGGTATTTTAATCCCCAATCCAAACCTTCCCGGTTTAGAATATATATATATGCTATTAAAGTGATCGTACTGACTAACTTTTATATTTTATATTATTATATTATATACTTATATAATTTATACAAATCTTAAGTCACACTACTTATTTACTTAGTTAACTTCCAATACATATATAAACATTCTTATATTGTCTTGTAACAATATAATTTTAAATTGGACACCATACCCAAAAAATTAAAAAATGAGGTTAAAAATTAGGGTTAAAAATAAGATGATGTTAATGGAAGTTTCTTCTTGTTCTGTTCTTTTTTCTGAAACAAAAATGCCAGATCATGTAGAGTCCAAGAGAAAACAGACAGAAAAGATTGTGGAACTTGACGACTCTGAGTATCGATTTGCACTGAAAGTGTTGGAAGGTCCGGCGCTAACACTGCGCAATTTTTCTGCATTGACAACTTCTTTCCAACTGAGCAAAATCGGAGAGCAGGAGACCTTGGTTGATATGAAAGTGGTGTATGAGACTGAAAAAGAGGAAGCTAATACCGGAGATATAGCATTGCAGCCTGCGATTTCTTACATTCAGTTCCTGGAGAAATATGTATTGGAATCATAGTGGGAGAGCTTAGCATCATCCTCCTAGTACTGAAATGTGTTTGATCGATCAGTTCAAGCCAACTAGCTGAGTTAGGTTCATCTTGTCAGATTAAATAACAGTGGACTTACCTTGAGCTAGCAAATCAGGTTTTTATTGTGAATAAATGGTAGCAGATACAAAGTTGATGCTGGTATCAGAAATTTGGCATCTCCTTGATTTGGATGATGCAGTGTTGTGGGCAGTAGCAGTTTCATGAATTGTTGTGTTGTGCAGCCTCCCTACTTTCTTTTTATTGAATGAGACTTCTTTTGGTTGATAAGATTACTATTCAAATAGATTCATTGTACTTGATCATTAATATTAAATGTATAATGTTACATTGTGTTTAGTCATTTCAAATCCAGTACGAATACTTTGTATGTGATATTTTTATGATTCTTCCAACCCATACAAGCTTAAAGTCAAAATACGAATTCATAATTTACCTTCAAATAAATGGAAACCAACATAACATAACATATATAGTCTATCTTGTTATGGATATTATCAAATGTGTGCAATAAGATTTCGGGAAATTATGGTAGTTAGAAAAGGGTTATAGAAAAGTTATTTTTAAGAGTGATTCTCTCTAGATCGTTTAAGCTTTTCCGCTGGCTCAGGTAATTGAGTTTTACCCATGTATGTCATATTGTTATTTGGATGACTCTCTTTACTGTGCGTTTGGATGAGAAAATTTAAAAGTAATAAGGAATTCATAAATGATGAAATTTAAAATGATGGAAATTAATGTTTTAGAATTTGTGAAGTTTCTTGTTTGGCTATGGTTTTAAACACGAAATTTAATGTTTATCATCTTGGAATTTTAGAAATGACGACTATTTAGATATAATTTCTATATTTCTTTGTTTTTAAAAAAAAAATCTAAACACAAAAATTGGTTTATGTCAATTTAGAAATTCTGATTTTTGTCAAAATCTCAAGTTTATTTCCTTCATCCAAACACACCATACATTCTGTCCTTTGTACTATGTATTCCTATTGATCTAATAAAATTCTATCGCATTTTTATAAAAAAAGAAAAAGAGAATTACCTAACTTGAGAATTTTCATATACTTTATAAGGAATGCCATATGTAAATGAGCTCTTGTCCTTACCGAAACTAACCAATTGTGAAAACTAGCTGAGTTAGGTTCATCTTGTCAGATTAAATAACAGTGGACTTACCTTGAGCTAGCAAATCAGGTTTTTATTGTGAATAAATGGTAGCAGATACAAAGTTGCTGGTATCAGAAATTTGGCATCTCCTTGATTTGGATGATGCAGTGTTGTGCTTGTGGGCAGTAGCAGTTTCATGAATTGTTGTGTTGTGCAGCCTCCCTACTTTCTTTTTATTGAATGAGACTTCTTTTGGTTGATAAGATTACTATTCAAATAGATTCATTGTACTTGATCATTAATATTAAATGTATAATGTTACATTGTGTTTAGTCATTTCAAATCCAGTACGAATACTTTGTATGTGATATTTTTATGATTCTTCCAACCCATACAAGCTTAAAGTCAAAATACGAATTCATAATTTACCTTCAAATAAATGGAAACCAACATAACATAACATATATAGTCTATCTTGTTATGGATATTATCAAATGTGTGCAATAAGATTTCGGGAAATTATGGTAGTTAGAAAAGGGTTATAGAAAAGTTATTTTTAAGAGTGATTCTCTCTAGATCGTTTAAGCTTTTCCGCTGGCTCAGGTAATTGAGTTTTACCCATGTATGTCATATTGTTATTTGGATGACTCTCTTTACTGTGCGTTTGGATGAGAAAATTTAAAAGTAATAAGGAATTCATAAATGATGAAATTTAAAATGATGGAAATTAATGTTTTAGAATTTGTGAAGTTTCTTGTTTGGCTATGGTTTTAAACACGAAATTTAATGTTTATCATCTTGGAATTTTAGAAATGACGACTATTTAGATATAATTTCTATATTTCTTTGTTTTTAAAAAAAAAATCTAAACACAAAAATTGGTTTATGTCAATTTAGAAATTCTGATTTTTGTCAAAATCTCAAGTTTATTTCCTTCATCCAAACACACCATACATTCTGTCCTTTGTACTATGTATTCCTATTGATCTAATAAAATTCTATCGCATTTTTATAAAAAAAGAAAAAGAGAATTACCTAACTTGAGAATTTTCATATACTTTATAAGGAATGCCATATGTAAATGAGCTCTTGTCCTTACCGAAACTAACCAATTGTGAAAGAAAACGGCATCTCGCATGCCAGTTTGTCAACATATGCAAAAGATGCTGCGTTGACACTTGAAAATCATTTGTATATTTATGGCCTCGGTTGTATAAGTCGATTATCTCTCTCTTTCTCTCAAAAACTACATTTGAGAGCCATGGTTAAGGAAATAAAAACTGAAGCAAAAGTAAGTGTTGGAATTGAAGCCTTGTGGAAAGCTTTGGCCAAAGATGTGGCATCTGTGACACCAAAAGTCATCCCAAATTTGGTCAAGAATGTCGAAGTGACAGAAGGAGATGGTGGCATTGGCACAGTCTTCCTCTTCAATTTTGGCTCTGGTGAGTACCCAACTCTTTTTGACACTTTCAAATTTCAATATTTGAATATGAACTTCTTTGTCAACGAGGTCTAGCCTAGTGGTCTCGAATGTTCGAGAAAAGCCTCTTACCCTTTTCTGACTTTGGCAACAAAAATAAAAAACTTCTTCCTCCACCATATGACATGCAAATGTTAAACAATGAATTTTATGTTTTCTTTTTCTTTTGTGAACATGTTGATCAGATGTACCAAAGATGAGTTATCAGAAGGAAAAGATTGTGGAGCTTGATGAGGCTGTGCATAAAATTGGGCTGCAAGTCATAGAAGGAGGACACTTGAACTTTGGGTTTTCTTCATACAAAACAACCTTCCAACTCACTCCAATTCAGGAAGAGGAGAGATTTATAATGTTACGTTGTGTTTAGTCATTTTAAATCCAACACGAATACTTTGTATTTGATATTTTTATGATTCTTCCAACCCATACAAGCTTATAGTCAAAATCCGAATTCATAATTGACCTTCAAATTAAGAAACCAACATAACATAACATAACATATATAGTCTATCTTATTATGGATATTATCAAATGTGTGTAATAAGATTCGGGGAACTTATGGTAGGTAGAAAGGGGTTATAGAAAAGTTATTTTCAAGAGTGATTCTCTTTAGATTGTTTAAGCTTTTCGGTTGGCTCAGGTCACTGAGTTTTACCCATGTATGCCATATTGTTATTTGGATGACTCTTTTTACGGTGCGTTTGGATGAGAAAATTTAAAAGTAATAAGGAATTCATAAATGATGAAATTTAAAATGACGGAAATTAATGTTCTAAAATTTGTTAAGTTTCTTGTTTGGCTATGGTTTTAAACATGAAATTTAATGATATAGTCGATATAATTTCTAGATTTTTTTTTTATTTTTAAAATCCAAACATGGAAATTGGTTTATGTCAATTTAAAATTTTTGATTTTTATCAAAATATCAAGTTTATTTCCCTCATCCAAACGCACCATATAGTCTGTCCTTTGTACTATGTATTCCTATTGATCTAATAAAATTCTGTGGCATTTTTATAAAAAAAGAAAAAGAGAATTACCTAACTTGAGAATTTTCATATACTTTATAAGGAATGCCATATGTAAATGAGCTTTTGTCCTTACATAAACTAACCAATTGTGAAAGAAAACGGCATTTCGCATGCATATGCAAAAGATGCTGCGTTGCCACTTGAAAATCATTTGTATATTTATGGCCTTGGTCGTATCAGTCGATTATCTCTCTCTTTCTCTCAAAAACTACATTTGAGAGCCATGGTTAAGGAAATGAAAACTGAAGCAAAAGTAAGTGTTGGGATTGAAGCCTTGTGGAAAGCTTTGGCAAAAGATGTGGCATCTGTGACACCAAAAGTCATCCCAAATTTGGTCAAGAACGTCGAAGTGACAGAAGGAGATGGTGGCATTGGCACGATCTTCCTCTTCAATTTTGGCTCCGGTGACTCCCCAACTCTTTTTGACACTTTCAAATTTCAATATTTGAATATGAACTTCTTTGCCAACAGGGTCTAGCCAGTGGTCTCAGGTTGGAGAAAATCCTCCTCTCCCTTTCTAACTTTGGCAACAAAAATAAAAAGCTTTTCCTCCACCATATGACATGGAAATGTTAAACAATGAATTTTATGTTTTCTTTTTCTTTTGTGAACAATGTTGATCAGATGTATCAAAGATGAGTTATCAGAAGGAAAAGATTGTGGAGCTTGATGAGGCTGTGCATAAAATTGGGCTGCATGTCATAGAAGGAGGACACTTGAACTTTGGGTTTTCTTCATACAAAACAACCTTCCAACTCACTCCAATTCAGGAAGAGGAGACCATGGTCAGTGTTGAGGTCACATATGAGTCTCAAGTGGAAGATAGTAGCATGCCATCAAAGACAGCAAAGTCTGTTTTAGCATTCATAAGGAGCTTAGAATGTTATTTGTTGAATGGTGCTATCTAGAATTTTGACATTGTTTTTGTTTGAAAGCACCATGAGATGAGTCCTAGTCAACTCATAGTGGCCTTTGACTGTTTCTGTTCTACATTTTGATGAGCAAATTTGGGCCATTTTATTGAGCTGGAGAAGCCCATTGTTGAAATTACCTCAAATTCAATTACCTAGAATGAAAAATAAAAAAGAACTGTCCATTGGTTGGATTTCTCTGAAAAGAAAGGTTTGAAGTTTTTTTCTTCTATTGCCTTGCCTTGCCCCTAGTTATAAGCGTGCTAGTGTAATCATATTATAATGGACAAGCATAAGTGGTAGAAGGAAAGAGTAGGAAGGTTATATTGAATTCCAGACCAGAAAATTAAAGTGTTGCGTAACACGATACACATTGGCAGTTAATTTTGGATTAGATGTTGCAATTCTATAAAAAAAACACATTGAGAAAGATCGAACTTCTAATCAAGTATACAATGTTAGTAAACATGGAATAAATCGCTTTCTATCCTCACAGAAATCAGTTATTGGTGAAAGCAAAAGGCATCTATCATGCCACCGACAGTGTCCTTGTGTGCAAAAGATGCTTTCTTTCCACTAATCAAAATACTATCTGCATATCTATGACCTGGGTTTTATCAGTCCAAAGTTCTCATCCCTTTCTCAAAAGTTACATTTGAGAGCCATGATTAAGTTAAACAATGAATTTTATGTTTTCTTTTTCTTTTGTGAACAATGTTGATCAGATGTATCAAAGATGAGTTATCAGAAGGAAAAGATTGTGGAGCTTGATGAGGCTGTGCATAAAATTGGGCTGCATGTCATAGAAGGAGGACACTTGAACTTTGGGTTTTCTTCATACAAAACAACCTTCCAACTCACTCCAATTCAGGAAGAGGAGACCATGGTCAGTGTTGAGGTCACATATGAGTCTCAAGTGGAAGATAGTAGCATGCCATCAAAGACAGCAAAGTCTGTTTTAGCATTCATAAGGAGCTTAGAATGTTATTTGTTGAATGGTGCTATCTAGAATTTTGACATTGTTCTTGTTTGAATGCACCATGAGATGAGTCCTAGTCAACTCATAGTGGGCTTTGACTGTTTCCGTTCTACATTTTGATGAGCAAATTTGGGCCATTTTATTGAGCTGGAGAAGCCCATTGTGGTAATTACCTCAAATTCAATTACCTAGAATGAAAAATAACAATTGAAGATAAAGAACTGTCCATTGGTTGGCTTTCTCTGAAAAAAAAAGATTTGAAGTTTTTTTTCTTCTATTGCCTTGCCTTGCCCCTAGTTATAGCGTGCTAGTGTAATCATCTTATAATGGACAAGCACAAGTGGTAGAAGGAAAGAGTAGGAAGGTTATATTGAATTCCAGAGGGAAAATTAAAGTGTTGTGTAACACGATATACATTGTCAATTAATTTTGGATTAGATGTTGCAATTCTATCAAAAAAACACATTGAGAAAGATCAAACTTCTAATCAAGTATACAATGTTAGTAAACATGGAATAAATTGCTTTCTATCCTCACAGAAATAAGTTATTGGTGAAAGCAAAAGGCATCTATCATGCCACCGACAGTGTCCTTGTGTGCAAAAGATGCTTTCTTTCCACTAATCAATAGAGCAGACTCTGTTGGGAGAGGTCCCCGCTTTGCACCTGACCGTACCTCGAGGGATTTAGTCTCCGCAGTCGCGCGGGGGATATCCTGGGAAACAAAAAAAAATGCTATCTGCATATCTATGACCTGGGTTTTATCAGTCCAAAGTTCTCATCCCTTTCTCAAAAGTTACATTTGAGAGCCATGATTAAGGAAATTAAAACTGAAGCAGTAGTGAAAGTTGGGATTGAAGCCTTGTGGAAAGCTTTGGTAAAAGATGTGAGATTTGTGGCACCAAAACTCATCCTACTGGTCAAGAATGTACAAGTGTTAGAAGGAGATGGTGGCCTTAGCACAGTCTTGCTCTCCAATTTTGGCTCTGGTGAGCAATTTGCCTTAACAACTGCTTTGAACTTCCTCCTCCATAAGACAAAATTATATGGATGATGCAAAAGATTTTAATTATTTAGGTGATGTTATATGTTAATAGTAATGAATATTTTTGGTCAGATATACCAAAGATAAGTTCTTCCTAGGAGAAGATTGTGGAGCTTCATGAATCTGTGCATAAAATTGGGCTGCAAGTCATAGAAGGGGGCCATTTGAATCTTGGGTTTTCTTCATACAAAACAACTTTCCAACTTACTGCAATTCGGGAGCAGCGCAGCCTGTCATGATCACCTTTGAGTCTGAAGTGGAGGATAGTGGCATACCGTCAACGATAAATTTACTGTCTAAAACTGGTAAGTAAGTACAGATAAAGGTCGTGTGTCAAGCTATCCATCCTATACGATGAGTATTTTTGAGCTGCCAGTTTGTTTATGTTATGGCTAAATATTGGTGGTCAAAAGCGGATGTGAAAGTCATTCATTGGAATACGTGGAAAGTGATGTGTTGGAAGGGAACATGGGCTTTCGGGAATTGGTTAGCTAACTCATTGATTGCCCGCATGTTTAAAGAAAGGTACTATCCATAGCATGATTTCTTAAGTTCTATTATATTTGTCAGATCGTGAAACCCAGAAAGCTCATGCGCATACCTTTCAACTTGGTATCATGAAGCCCAGAAAGCTCATGCGCATACCTTTCAACTTGGTATCATGAAGCCCAGAAAGCTCATGCGCATACCTTTCAACTTGGTATCATGAAGCCCAGAAAGCTCATGCGCATACCTTTCAACTTGGTATCATGAAGCCCAGAAAGCTCATGCGCATACCTTTCAACTTGGTATCATGAAGCCCAGAAAGCTCATGCGCATACCTTTCAACTTGGTATCATGAAGCCCAGAAAGCTCATATATAAGGGTAACATAAAAATAAACACTGCGTTGCAGTTTCTATTTTATAAACCTAAAAAATAGCAATATAAGAGTAACGTAAAAATACAAATTGCTTTGCATTTTCTATTATATAAGCCTAAATATACAAATATCATAATAACATACAAATACACGTTGCATTGTAGTTTCTTTTGTTAAAGCTTTAAAAAAACCAATATAAGAGTAACATAAAAATACACACTTCATTGCAATTTCTATTATATAAGCTTAAAATTATCAGCATAGAAGTAACATAAAAATACACACTACATTGTAGTTTCTAGTGTATAAGTCTAAACATACCAATATAAGAAAAATATAAAAATACACACTAAATTGCAGTTTCTGTTGCATAAACCTAAAAAATAACAATATAATATGCATAAGGGTTTAAAACTTATAAATTTTTGCAACTTAAAATTGGTCTATTTATGTATAACTCTAAAGCATGAGGGATTTGGTACAAATTATGCGCGAATCGGTGTTGAAATGAATAATTTTTTCATTTAAAAAAACCCTTTTGTCTGTTAATATAAATTTTGTGTAACTGAAGAAATATCACAAAAGTAAAGTTGGTGCAGTGGTTTGTGATTGAGGTTTCCTCCTTTCATGGTCAAGGTTTGAGTCACTTTAAGTAAACAAAATTTTCTATTTTTGTAGGGTGAATAAAACGGGCCGGAGTTGGTCGTCGACTGGTGGCGGGGTGGTTGGTGATGGGCAGCGGTGGCTGGCTAGCGCCAGACGGCGACGGGTGGCTTGCGGTGGTTGGTCAACGATGGGCGGCGACGAGTGGTGGTTGGTTGGAAAGGGTTGCCAGATGTGGACATGTGGCATTATGTGATTGACTTAAAAGGAGTGGCAATGTGTGTAATTTTGAGAATTTTTAAATGCATTATTGTAAACCAAAGCTGCCTTATAGATTTTAAAGCTTTTCGAAATCCATATAATGATGGCCATGGGCCTTAATTCATGTGATAGGTTTTAGGTTCAAACTAATATATATATATATATATATATATATATAAATATTTGTCTAACATTTTAAAAAACCTTAATCACTAGATTAATCTAATGAGTTTTAATCCGTATATGTCATTAAAATAAACAAATTGAATCCCCCATTAGAAAGAGTCGAATACCCAACAATATG